GAAATGACAGGTCCCAGATCATTTTTCATCATGTACCAGTGTAGGCTGGGCACTCAGGGGGCTGGAGTTGGGAATCTTTACCTTCGTATACTCAGAAGGCATACACATATTCTGTGGCTCTTTCACAGAGTCATATCTGGCCCTTTTACAGGGAATGTACTGCTTGATTTCCAGTTGGCCAGTGAAGTGGACAAGGGACTCGTCCATACAGATGTTTTTGTCAGGGATATACAATTCAGCGAATCGTTGAAATGGAGGACGCGCATGATCATGTCATAGCATGAACTTGATATAACAAAATGAATACATGGGAATGTGATGAATGGAGTTGGGGGACCATTTGGCATGCCCTTCATTTCTTTCGGCAGGCTCCATGTTAATTGAGAGGCCCAAAAAAATTTGAACTCCGCCACTGTGAGACGTCTCCATTCAAACTGACAGGCATAGGATGAATTGGGTTTATTTGCAATGTATTGTTGGACAAGAAGATTGGTCTGGTCCACAATGATCTGAAATAAATTGTCGGAGAAAGATAAATTTAAAAAAATTTTTTAGTGTTGGTCTATACACCTGGCTGTGCGGTAAAAGGGGGGATTATAGCTGATCCTGAGTTAGAAGGCAGCCATAATGGGTTCACAAGTGCACCTGGGAGATAGGTATCACATCAGACCCCAAAAGTTAGGGCCCATACATCAGTACTAGTACTGGGCCTTTCATCCAGGGGCCTAGCGCCATTGGCCTTTGCCAATTGACCATTGGGGTGTGTGGCACTGCTGCTAGCTGCTTGGTTATCAGAATAGCCTAATCTTTTTGGAGGGGGCTTGTTTGTTCCTCTGATTTGGTCACTGATCCACTACTTTCGGCAGGTTCATACTCCGAGTCAGAATTGGGCGGTGAGAGCTCTGGGGGCTCTGGTGACACTGGAGCAGGTACACTGCTGATGGCGGCTGTGTGACGGGTACATTGCTGATGGCGACTGTGTGTTGGTTACATTGCTGATGGCAGTGGTGTGATGGGTACATTGCTGATGGCGGCTGTGTGTTTGGTTCGCTGCTGATGGCTGCTGTGTGATGAGTACATTGCTAATGGCAACTGTGTGACAGGTACATTGCTGATGGCAACTGTGTGACAGGTACATTGCTGATGGCGGCTGTGTGATGGGTGCACTGCTGATGGTGGCTAAGTGATGGGTACATTGCTGATGGTGGCTGTGTGATGGGTACACTGCTGATGGAGGTTGTGTGATGGATACATTGCTGATGGCGGCTGTGTGACGGGTGCACTGCTGATGGTGGCTGTGTGACGGGTGCACTGCTGATGGCGGCTGTGTGATGGGTACATGGATGTGTGTGACACTGCTGATGGCGGCTGTGTGATGGGTACACTGCTGATGGCTGCTGCTGCTGTGTGATGGGTACACTGCTGATGGTGGTTGCGTGATGGGTACACTGCTGATGGTGGCTGTGTGATGGGTACACTGCTGATGGCGGTTGTATGATGGATACACTGCTGATGGCGGCTGTGTGACGGATACACTGCTGATGGCGGCTGTGTGACGGGTACACTGCTGATGGCGGCTGTGTGATGGGTACACTGCTGATGGCGGCTGTGTGATGTATACACTGCTGAAGGCGGCTGCGTGATGGGTACACTGCTGATGTCGGCTGTATGACGGGTAGATTGCTGATGGTGGCTGTGTGATGGATATACTGCTGATGGCGGCTGTGTGACGGGTACATTGCTCATGGCGGCTGTGTGACGGGTACATTGCTAATGGCGGCTGTGTGATGGGTACACTGCTGATGGTGGGGTACTGTGTGATGGGTACACTGCTGATGGTGGCTGTGTGATGGATACACTGCTGAAGGCGGCTGTGTGATGGGTGCACTGCTGAAGGCGGCTGTGTGATGGTACACTGCTGATGGCGGCTGTGTGATGGGTACACTGTTGATGTCGGCTGTGTGATGGGTACATTGCTGATGTCGGCTGTGTGATGGGTACACTGCTGATGGTGGCTGTTTGATGAGTACACTGCTGAAGAATGCACTGATGCACTGATGCTGGTAACAGTGAGTCACCGGTCTTTCTTTACATTTGTGTGTACAGAGCGATCACATGTAATTGCCCTTATCTGTGATGCACAGTATTTCAGGGGACACAGCTCAACACCGATCATTGCGATGAGCGGCCCTGGGGGTGCACATGCGCGGCAAGTATAGGAGGATAGGATTGAAAATATCCCGCACCACTATCAAATAAAAAATTAACCAAATAATGTTATATTATGTGCTTAAAGGGAGTTCCTGCTAGCAATGTAATTGTGTACAACAACCACAACCAATGTACATCAAAGAATAAAGAAATAGATTGCTGGGCCTCCCAATCTAATAACTCAATCCAATATACAATCCTACGAATGATAAATATGCTATTCAAAATACTAAAAGTGAATATTTGCATAAAATATTACCAGTGAATGTCCATATTTAAATTGTGAATATCTTCTCTCATTTACATATAATATATCACTACTTGAGCAAACATCTGAGTCCTCATCAACGGAAGAGGTATTGGAAGGAGTCCTAAACAAGGGAAAAAAAGCGGTTGAGACCTGTAATAATATAGGTCCAATCTTGGAGGTGAGCGCAGTGGTGAATGGTGGTGGGCATCACTACGTATACTTGGAGCGGACTATCACTAAAGGTGGAGTGGAGTGATGCGAAGTATCTCAAGAAGTAGAACGTAGTGACGAAAGTCCAAGCCAGCCATCATTTTACTATAGGACGGGCAGGAACCAGTTAGGGCTTCTTCAAGGATGTCCTGGCACAATGCTAAAATATTGCCTATACATTGTATACAAGCCAGCGGTGGATCAAGTCTACCTTTTATTTACATGGAGCCACAGGTTTTCATTGTGCACATTACAACTTTTTAGCCATCAGCGTCCTAACAACCATTGATGTCAATGGTTGATAAGGATGTTGGGCACCTGCACAGCATCCTTGTTTGCCACTCACCTGCCCTTCACCATCAGCACTGGGGTTATATTAGCTGAGTAGGGAAGAGAAACTGAGAGAGAAGGGAAATCCTGGAGTACTAGTCAGTACCAGTGTGCAAAGGTGTTGGGTGTCCTACACGTGTAGATGTTGCTGCAATGTGTAAAACTATTAGTTTAGATTTTTACCTTTTTGTATTTTAAAGGGTGCCATGGCTAAAAAAAAGGTTGAGAAACACTGTTCTAGATTGTAGGCTCCACAGTTTATTTTCCCTCAACAACATCTCTAATGGGGCCCCCTTCCACTCCAAGCCGTATAGCAGTTTGCATGGACTGCTACACCTATAGTTTAAGTCACTGATCGCACTTTGTCAAAAGAGATGAAAAGCAAAGCTGGTCAAAAGCAACCTTGAAACAGTCATGCACAATAAACAAAATAAATATATTCTGCAGACTTACAATTAAAGAACACTTAAAATGCAGAAAACCAAAGGCCATCTACATGAGCCTTACATGAGCCCTTAATGTGTGCTGTGCGGAGGGAGAATACTTACGGAGGCTCAAGTCATGTGGTTACATTAGAACAAAACTTTCTAAATTGTGTTTATACTGCTCCCGATCACCTCTTCATGCCAACGGATCTATGCTTTGTATTGCCATCCTACACTTCATCTTCCATCACCATCACCACAACCATTCCAACACACTGAGAACAATCCAAGGTGCTTTTACTCTTTCCCCAAGTTTTTTCAGTAGCAGATTAATCCACCTAAGCTTTATTTCTGTGTGGAAGTCGTTATATACAAGTGCTACCGAAGTGAAGGACCAAGTACCCTAAGCAATGTACTTTACCAAGTACTTTGACAATATAAGGCCTATTTACAAAGACCTTCAGTTTGAAAACTCAGTACCTTGCAGAACATAAGAAATCCACTATACTGCTCTGGCATTTTGTTTTTTTTCTGGATAATAAAGAGTGTAGTGTGAAGTTGGTGTTGCCCTTTAGTGTCCTCTGCATAACGAGCTTTGTCACATGTCTTGTTTCAGATCATGTGACAGGTTTCCCTAAAGTGATTGTAAACCCTTACATATACCCAGTGAAGCGACTGGCCTCTGAAGCGACTGGCCTCGGATGAAGACACAGAGATTAAACAAATCCTCCTACATGAGTTGTACTTATTTATCTGCAACCCTCTTCTCTACAGCTCTTCCAAAGTGCATAATTTTTTTTAATTTGTCTGAGCTTTTAGAAAGTAGGGGGTGAGGAGATGAAGTTACACACAGAGCATAGTGAGGAGAGCTGATTGGAGGGAAGGGTCACACCCACACAGCACACAGGAAGAGAGCTGAGGCTGGCATGGGCTGTGTGTTAGAGCTCCTTCCCCTGTCACTTTTTATCTCTTGGTGTCAGAGGAACGAGACAGCAGACAGGATGACACTTAGTGCTCTGGACTGAGACAAGTACACACCATAGACGCATATGCTTTGTTCGTATTTCATGTCAGAGGTTTACAGTCATTTTAACCAAGAACACATTTTTCCAGTTCATTAGAATAAATGGGACTTTAGAGTCCTGAAGGAGGCACAGTATACAGCAGGAGTTGTGCTTTCAGGGGAAAGTTTTTTATTAGAAGAAAGCATTATTAAAAAGCAGGAATACGGCCAGTTAGATCATTTTGCAGACCTATGTCCTGTGTAGGGAAGTTCAAGGGAGCATTCTGAGCTTGTTGCCTTCTGGATACAGCTATTAAGAGCTCAAGAGAAAGACCTACTACATATAGGAACAGAAATTCACATCCTTTCATGTGTGAATGGCAATTAGAGGTATTAGGACACCTTAAAAGTAGTTTTGCTTTTACAGACAGATTTCTTTTTTTTTGTAACACTATAATTACTCTTTTGCTGTGTGGTCAGTTTAGATGTAATGATTGGAGCAATCTCTATTTGACAGTCTGTCATATTCCATACAGGCCTTGTGAATAATGGAGCAGAGATTGTTTCTTACCTCATCTTTCCGGATGCCTTCTCCAGTTGCAGAGCTTGTAGCTTTCTATAGTTAGCTGACTCCAGCTGTCGAGATTCTTCAACCAACTCTACCTAATATAAGAATAAAACAAAGTCAGGAATATGCTACCGACCTCTGCAGGAGTAAGGGGGTTTGGCTAATAGATGAATGGAAAGACCAACTGTTTGTTGATAGCTGCTATTTTACAGTGAATATTGCATTATGTGACGCAGAGCAGCTGAATAGATCAAATAGTAAATCGGACCATAATAAACAGGCAGAAGAGTTCCAGACAGTGACTTGAGCCCAACTAGCATGTACCTTCAGCTCATAAATGAAACATTGTAAATTTCTTCGACTGCTGTACTAGAATTCCCACATCCAATTTAAATGTTATAATTGTCTTGCTATTTACAGCATTTTTCTGTTTTTCTCTAGTCTCATACCACAATTTTCATAACTCCACTTCTCCCTGCAATGGACTCATCCATTAATACTTATAACCCAGTGTTACATAGATGTTTAGGAGATACTGAAGTTTTTGTGCAGTTGATAATCCAAAAACAAAAAAAAAAAGCAGAACTGCTCTAAAACCAGCAAAGGTAATTCTGGCTCCAATGGAGAAAGTGGGTTATAGAGAATGGCTATTTTATTTAAACAAAATAGGCAGATGTGCAATCATCCATTACTACACTGCTCAAAAAAATTAAAGGAACCTTTTTGTAATCAGAGTATAGCATCAGTCAATTAAACTCCTAGGATATTGATCTGGTCAGTTAAGTAGCAGAGGGGGTTGTTAATCAGTTTCAGCTGCTTTGGTGTTAATTAAATTAACAACAGATGCACTAGATGAGCAACAATGAGAAAATCCCCAAAAAAGGAATGGTTTTACAGGTGGAGGCCATTGAAATTTTTTTCCTACTCATCTTTCCTGGCTTTTACACTAGTTTTGCTTTTGGCTAGGGTCAGTGTCACTACTGCTAGCATGAGGCGATATCTGGACCCTACAGTGGTTTCAGAGGCAGTCAAACTCCTCCAGGATGGCACATCAATACGTGCCATTGCCAGAAGGTTTGTTGTGTCTCCCAGCACAGACTCAAGATCATGGAGGAGATTCCAGGAGACAGGCAGTTACTCTAGGAGAGCTGGACAGGGCCATAGAAGGTTCTTAACCCATCACCAGGACCGGTATCTGCTCCTTTGTGCAAGGAGGAACAGGATGAGCACTGCCAGAGCCCTACAAAATTACCTCCAGTAGGCCACTGATGTGAATGTCGCGCTGACCAAACAATCAGAAACAGACTTCATGAGGGTGGTATGAGGGCCCAACATCCTCTACTGGCCCTGTACTCACTGCCCGGCACCATAGAGCTCGATTGGCATTTGCCATTGAACACCAGAATTGGCAAGTCCGCCACTGGCATACTGTGCTTTTCACAGATAAGAGCAGGTTCACCCTGAGCACATGTGACAGACGTGAAAGGGTCTGGAGAAGCCGTGGAGAATGTTATGCTGCTTGTAACATTGTTCAGCATGACCGTTTTAGTGGTGGGTCAGTGATGGTCTGGCGAGGCATATCCATGGAGGGCCATACAGAGCTCTACAGGCTAGACAATGGCACCCTGGCTGCCATTAGGTATGGGGATGAAATCCTTGGACCCATTGTCAGACCCTACGCTGGTGCAGTGGGTCTTGGGTTCCTCCTGGTGCGCGACAATGCCCAGCCTCATGTGGCTAGAGTATGCAGGCAGTTCCTGGAGGATGAAGGAATTGATACCATTGAATGGCCCCCTGACCCCCCTGGCCCCAGCTTGCCTGACCCAAATCCAAAAGAACAGCTCTGGAATATCATGTTTCGGTCCATCCGACACTACCAGATTGCACCTCAGACTGTCCAGAAGCTCAGTGATGCCCTGGTCCAGATCTGGGCGGAAATACCCCAAGACACCATCCTTCTTCTCATTAGGAGCATGCCCTGACATTATCAGGCTTGCATACAAGCACATGGGGGCCATACAAACTACTGAGTACCATTTTGAGTTACTGCAATGATATTTCAGCAAAATGGACCAGACTGCTGCATAATTTTTTTGCTTTGATTTTTGGGGTGTCTTTGAATTCAGTCCTCTCTAGGTTGATGATTTTCATTTCCATCAAACAATGGGGCATCCTTACATTCCTAACACATTACCCACACCATATCAGTATAGATATCCAGCATGATATTTTTCCCCATTGAGATCTGATGTGTTGTAAAGTGTTCCTTTAATTTTTTTTGAGCAGTGTAGTTGTTCTATGTAAATCCTACCTAAAGAAGCAGCAAAGTTGCTATACAACATGTGCATGTTTACATAATTTTTAAAAAACCATTCCACTCCTCTCCTTTGTCAATTGGACCCGTACTCAGTCTTGCCTACTTGGGAGTATTCACAATGCAAAAATATTTAGCCAAAAGTCTTTTTATAATACACTCTTGGACAATCTTCCAAAGAGAGTAGCCTTATACTCTCAACAGGATCAGGGGAAATTAAGTAGTTTTCCCTACACGTCTCTACAGTGATTGCATATTCCTTAGGTGCTGGTGATTTCCCTATAGAAGTATCTACTAATTAAATGTTTTTAGATTGTCTATAACGGAAATGCTACACTGTGTATGCTCTCTAATCTAGCTTCTTTTTTTCTTCTTCGTACATATTTATTTCAGTGTATTAGACCAGAGTTATTGGTTAAAGTGTATTATTATTATTATACAGGATTTATAAAGCGCCAACAGTTTAGGCAGCGCTTTACAACATGATGCCCAAGCATTATCCAAATTTACCCCACATCTCCTTCACCCCCACTAGATAATTTCTTAGCATTATTTTTTTCTTTCACCTAGTTCCTGTAATGAGGAACAGCTTTTATTACTTCCTGTGATATCAGCACCTGGCCTGTAAAATTTGTGCAGGTGTAGCTTCTGGGAGGTTAGTTCATATAAGAACCCTGCATCAATTTTTAGGGACTCTTTAATGACTGGAATAGAACCACTGGATTGGCGTAAGGCCAATGTGATGCCAATATTTAAAAAGGGGTCAAAATATTTACCAAGTAATTATAGACCTGTTAGTTTAACTTCTATAGTTGGGAAGATACTGGAGAGTTTAATAAAAGACCACATAGATGAGTTCTTGCTGGAAAAAAATATTTTAAGCAACAGACAGCATGGATTCATGAAAGACAGAAGTTGTCAAACAAATCTGATTTCTTTTTAGAAGGAGGTGAACAAAACCTTGGACAGAGGGGTGGCGGTGGACGTGGTATACTTGGATTTTGCAAAAGCGTTTGACACAATTCCCCACACACTGCTAATGTGTAAGGTAAATTATACGGGTTTGGAAAAATCCGTATGTAAATGTATAGAAAACTGGCTAAAAGATCGTATTCAAAGAGATTGTGGTTAATGATTCATACTGTGAATGGTCTAGGGTTGTCAGTGGTGTACCCCCAGGTTCAGTTTTGGGACCCTTACTTTTTAATATATTTATAAACAATACAGGGTCTGGGATTAAAAATATAATTTCCGTCTTTGCAGATGACACCAAGCTGTGCAGTGGAATAACGTCCTTACAGGATGTCTTCAACTTACAAGCCGACCTCAATGCACTGTTTAATTGGGCAACTATGTGGCAAATGAGGTTTAATGTTGATAAATGTAAGATTATGCACTTGGGGGCTAAGAATATGCATACATCATACATATTAGGGGGAGTACAACTGGGGGAATCAATGGTGGAGAAGGATCTGGGAGTTCTGGTAGATCACAAGCAATGCCAAGCTGCGGTTTATAAAGCGAGCAAAATCATCTCTTGTATTAAAAGAGGTATAGACTCCAGAGAGAGATATCATATTACCCCTGTACAAATCATTAGTAAGACCTCATCTGGAATATGCAGTTCAGTTTTAGGCACCAATTCACAAAAAAGAACATTGGGGAACTTGAGAAAGTACAGAGAAGGGCAACTAAACTGATACGAGGCATGGAGGAGCTCAGCAATGAGGAAAGATTAGAGGAACTGAATTTATTCTCTTGAGAAGAGGAGATTAAGGGGGATATGATCAACATGTATAAATACATCAGTGGTTCATATAGTGAACTTGGTGTAGAGCTATTCACCGTGAGGTCAACACAGAAGGCAAGGGGGCATGCTTTACGTCTGGAGGAAAATAAATGTAATCTCCAAAACACGGAAAGGTTTCTTCACAGTGAGAGCTGTGAAAATGTGGAATAGACTCCCTCAAGAGTTGGTTCTGGCCAGCTCAGTGGATTGCTTTAAAAAAGGCCTGGATTCTTTCCTAGATACACAGAATATAACTGGATACTAACATTTATAGGTAAAGTTGATCCAGGGAATATCAGATTGCCTCTTGGGGGATCAGGAAGGATTTTTTTCCCTGCAGGAGCAAATTGGATCATGCTTTGCTGGGGGGTTTTTTGCCTTCCTCTGGATCAACTGTGGGTATAGGATTATAACTTTTTTTTTTTTTTTTTTTAAATGGTTGAACTGGATGTAACTGGAAGTAACTATGTAACTACATCTCCTATGGGACCTTTCCCTACACAGTGTGTAGTGGTGCACCGAAATGAAAATTCTTGTGCCGAAACCAAAAATTCAGGAAGCACTTGGCCGAAAATCGAAACCGAAATGGACAGTTTTAAAAAATTTATATATTTTTCAAATACAATTTAAAAAAAAAATTTTTTAATGAATAAAAAAAAACCAAATAAAAAAAAAAACACAATATATACCCTAATTTGTTGTAAAATATGAAAGATGATGTTATGCTGAGTAAATAGATAGCTAACATGTCACGCTTTAAAATTGTGCACACTCGTGGAATGGTGCCAAGCCATGGTACTTAAAAATCTCCATGGGTGACACTTTAAAACTTTCTACAGGTTACCAGTTTAGAGTTACAGAGGAGGTCTAGTGCTAGCATTATTGTTCTCGCTCTGACATTCACAGCAATACCTCACATGTGCAGTTTACATATGTGGGTGTTTCCTGCATATGCGTTCACCAGATCAAAAAAAAGGGGGCTTTTTTCGGCAATGAATCGGTGCCTATTTTCATATCGGCCAAAGGCCAAACGGGTATTTTCGGCTGAAACATTTCGGCCGGCCAAGTTTCGGTGCATTCCTAATAGTGTGGTTACACTCTTGGAAGACAAGGTAGCAGCATTGTTTAGTTGGGAAAGAAATAATGTTTGCATTTGTAGGTAGGACAACGTAGGGGTGGTGGTTGGGTGGAGACCTGTAGTCCAGCAGGCAGGACTGACAACCTTTGTTAGGATTTCAGTGTAGCAAAGGCACTTTATTAGCCCAAACAGAAAATTAGGAGCTCATTGGGTTTCTGGGAGATCAACGGGTATTTTTCTGTACTTGCTGAAAATGCGTTCTTAACCTAAAAAAGGTACACTCATACAGCTAACAAGTTTAAAGACAAGAACCTTTTCTAAATAGATAAAACTATACATATATTGAAGAGGTACACAGATTTGTTTTATTTTGCTCTGACATACACATTTAATATCTATTCCATGTAATATGCTAACCCACGAATTCTCCTCTCAAAAGAAGGTCATGTACCCAGTGTATTGTGGCAGAGGTGTAATGAAAGCAAAGATTCCAGTAGGACTTTAGACATCGATGGGATAAGATGATACTCTGTCAATGGTTTGATGGGCTGTCTGCTCCTCCCCTCTGCTTGATTTAGTTTTGTCAGATGGGATTTTCCCATGGTATCATACACAGGGATCAGGTAGTGCCATAGCTTGATTTTACGTATGGTAGCAAAATGGAAGAGACATAATTTTTAGATGAACAAAGATAAGATCAAATAGGATACAGAGAAGTGCTAGGTGCTCTGACAAGTGGTATTTACAAAAAGCAATTTCACTGGACCTATTTAGCTGTCCGTGTGATGAATTTTGGATGCAAACTTGGACACATACAGTATATATAAAGAAAAATATTTACCATTTATATACTGCATTTGCTTTCAAATGCTAAAATCACAAAAACAATAACAAAGCACTTTGAGCATTCAGTGACTGGTTGAATTAGCCTTTAAATAGAACTGTAGGCAGATAGAAGATGTCCCCATTCAGTTATGTGTTCATTCAATGATTTAATGTTTATGCAGCCCAGGCTTATATTACAGTAGGATTCAGTGTAGGAGAGGAAGGGGCAGCACTGCAAGCCAATTCGACTTTACCATAATAACAGAACCTAGAGATATCTGTCTGATTGGAGGAGAGGGCATAGCATTGAACTCATCAATGTGTTACTGTTCCTTCATTATCCAGTCAATGGATGGGGCATTCATTAGTCTAGCTGTATTGCTTTAACAGCAGTATTGAAAATTACAGTCAGTTTCTGGCCATGCTCTCTGAGAAGCAAAGATGGTTAGATTGAAAGTTTCTTGAATTATTATATATATTTTTGGGCAACTATACAATTTATATTCTATTTCCTAAAATACATCCCTTTTATTTTTAAGATCTTTTTGTATACATAAAGTTTACCCTGGGTCTTCAGCCCAGTTGTGTGACACATTGAGGCTGATTCACTAAAACTGAAAACTGGAGAGTGGAAAATCTGGTGCAGCTGTGCATTGAAACCAATCAGCTTCCAGGTTTTATTGTCAAAGCTTAATTGAACAAGCTGATGTTAGAAGCTGATTGGCTACAATGCACATCTGCACCAGATCTGGCACTGTCCAGTTTTAGTAAATCAACCCCCATGGGTCCATTTCCTCATCTGGCAGTGAGCATGTCCTGAATGCTGCAGAGAAAGAAGCCTGGTAATGGATCTGCTCTCTATTATTATTATATTATTATTATACAGGATTTATATAGCGCCAACAGTTTGCTCAGCACTTTACAGTATAACGGGAGACAATACAGCAACAATACAGTTCAATACAAGAGGGATAGGAGGGCCCTGCTCCTTGGAGCTTACAATCTCTATGGCATTCTCCCTTGAGCTCAGGGTGGCTTTTTCATATATCCCCAAGGGCACCAGTCTTTGATGTTCTGGACTCACAGAAAGTGGGTTAAATGACACTGGGCGTGGTTGAAGCCGGAAGAGGACCAGCGCTGGATTGTGGAGCAGGACAGCACTGGAAAAGGGGTAAGTATTGCAGCTTTTTAATTTTTACAGATACTTAAGCTGGAGTTGAACTTTAATTCTTGGTCTACCCTTATTTACTACCTTATTGGTCCACCATAAAGAAGAAAAAGAAAGTCTGCATGAATAGTTGTCTAAAAGCAAATCATTAGTATTGCACATACAGTATATGCTAGATTGCTCTTTTTTTCAATTCAATTTTTGTGGCAACGAGGCAATGATTCTATTTGGTGTATAGGGAATGCAAAGATATTAGCCTTTAAGATATATCACTAAAGAGAGTGCCAGATAGCTCACCTTGCCATAGGCTTGTCTGTCTGATTCTGTCATTTGTGTCCAGGCAGAGAGAAGGAGCGTGAGGATGTATTCTTCAGCTGAATCAAATAAATCCTCAAAAGGAGGATCTAGTTTCTGGTAAATCTCTTTCCTTATGTTCTGTTCAACGCCAATGTCCATAGAAGCAGAAGGAGCCAGGTAAGTGCCAAAAATATACTGGAAAGAAGAAAAAAACCAGGTCAGGTTGAATAAATCACTTTAGGATAATATATAGTATATGAATTGTGGACAAAGTTATATATGAGCACGGACAACATCCTAACACATCACACTTGATTATTTTGTTCCACAATCCAGTCCAGATATAGAAAAAAAATGCTCTTTCCTGCCATTGTGGAACAACAAATACCATCAAGATGCCATTTTTCAAAGAGTTTGAGTACTTGAGTCCTACAACTTTCTTTGAAGCAAAATTTTCCAATGGTGTTCCAGGATTTACTGAACCCCACAAGCTGCACATTCATTCTATAAAATGGGTTGATGCCAGTGGAAGTCACGCGTGATAGATTAGATGCAGCTTGGACATTAGGAAATGATGATCCAACTAAAGATACACACACTGTATCCTACAAAGAGACATTTTCTGTTTCTAATAGTAAATAGGGCCACACACAATTTGCAGGAAATTTTTACTGCTGTCAACCAGCTTTTGATCACAAAACTATACAAAGAGATGAATGCAAACTACCATCAACAAGGTTCTGTGGACAGTGTAAAGGTATCCAATGCGGTGGTAGTTTTTATTTATTTGGTGGTTGAAAAAATATTGAAACAAAGTTAAAATTTACCCAAATGTACCTCTCCCCACAACCTTCCTCTCTCCTCTACTGCAAATCCAAGCATTCACTGAAAGGGATAATACACCCTTAGATAATCCCACAGAAGTGGCTGGCCTCAGGTGATACACTGTGATGAAGCAAATCCTCCCACGCATGTTATACCTGTTTACCTGCAGCATTCTATTCTCAAGGGCAGTTCAAAGTACAATCAAATGGTATTTCTCAGCTTCCAGGAGCCAGGGGACAGGCATCTGAAATCACACGCTGCACAATACAGAGCTGGGTGTAATATGAGATCTGAGTGAAGGGAAAGGACACCCCCCTCTACACAGTCTCATAGGAGAACATGCATAGCTGAGCTTGTCAATCACCTTCTGTGTGCTGGGGGGGGGGGGGGGCATCTCCAAGGAGTGTCTTGTGTCGGGAAAATGTCTGAAGTGACTAATACAGATAGCAGACACATAGGGAGGAGTCACACTATGTGCCATAGATGGAGGCAAGTCCACTCTATAGAAGGATATTTTACATTTTTCATTTCAAGTGTTTCTACCCACTTTAACACAAAACAATATATCTGATGGTGGGTACTGAACCCATACAAAAACTAAAATGTCAGTTTTGGGTGCACTGGCCCTTTAAATAAATCAATTAGTATGGCTTGGTACCTCAGATTCACATTTATGTAGCTTGCTCTGCTGCAACCAAAAAGCTCAGAGTTGCTTATCAATGAATTTCAGTTCCAGATTTAGTGTCCAACTATGCCTTGGGGTGCTAAGGCTGTACAATGGGCATCACTGTTTCTGTCCTTTGAAGAGTACTATATTAAATATTCCCAGAGGCCCATGAAAATAGATTACTGTTACAGTTCGGTACCTGTTATGACAGTTACCATGGTGCAATTAAATTAGGGTCATCAAATGCAAGAGCACCCCATGGACATCTACCTCAAGAACAGGAGTTTTAAAAGATTTGTGATACAAATGTGATGGTAAAATCTGACCGCAATTTAAGTTACTGGGATCATTCCAGCATCTGATGTACAATTTCCACATGACAGCCGCCAACAAACCTCATGAAATATGTCATAAGTCACAAAATCAGCAAAACACAAAACACTTCCAGAGACCTCAAAGCTCAGCAGACTTGTGTTCTGAGCCTAGTGAGAGGTCTGCACTATCCAATAGCCATTGTAATTGCTTTTCTCGCAGAAACCAGTCACTGACACCATGTTGTGCCAGAGGTGAACACGGATACTGTGCTAAGATCATTTAGCTTGCAGCCGTTTTGCTGAGGGATCAGATTAAAGCTTGCTTGTGTTCCAGAGAAAACACATCTTGTATTTGCAAAAGGCTTAAAGATGAAAAGTAAATATCTAGGGCGATGGCCTGATTTGTCAGCGAGCGTTCTCATCCATGTATGATGCCACAGGGTCTGTTTGAGATTCTTGTACTTATTTTTATGGGTCACACTGTAGAAGATCATGCTGTCTAATAGTTCTGTTATGTTTAATGTGGAGATCTGCTGTCACCCAGAGGCTGTTGTGGGGAATTAACTGTGTTTTATTTTTATTAGTAAGGCCTCATTCACACGGGTTTCCTGCATTTGTTTTATTTAAAAACAAGATTGATCTGGGAAGTATAGTGTTTATATTGCATTTATTTGCAAACTGGGCATATGTTTACACATACATTAGTTTACATGTTTTTAGGTGTTACATACAAACTTTTCTTTCCAAACTCCTTTTTTTTATTCATTTACATGCGTTTAGACACATTTGATGCATTAGGAATATCTAATCCACCCCCTGATGCACAGATTTGTATTTTTTCAAAACAGTAAAAATTTAATACAGCTGAATACGAGTATATGACTATTGATTTCCAGTTATAGGATAGGAACTTTTTTTTTGGGGGGGGGGGGGGGGGGTAGTGACTTGCTTATGTAATGTCAACCTGAAAAAATGTACAGTACAATAATTTGTGTTGTGTTGTAAAAAAAGTTCAGTATTTTAATTATTTTGTAAAAAAAAAAAAAAATAGAGAACTCTTTAACCAACAGCTTTGTAAGAGTGTAATGAATTGAATGGCTCAGTAAAAAAAACTTGTGTCATGGGATGTTGACCTGAACAGTGCCTACAGTTTGACCACATTGCAGTTATTTGAACTACTTCCTATGGAAGGCCTCCACCATAACAGCATGGACAGCAAGGACTGTGCAGGACCTGCAAAACATGGCTGCTGTATGTTTCTTTTTGGTTTGGATAAGGCCCCATTCAAACAGTCTCAAAAGGTTAGAAAAGTGACAGCAGAAAAAGACCAAGAGGTTCACTGAGTTTGCCCTTTTTGTTTATTTCCTAACACAACCTATACTCACAAAAAAGTTAATGTAATTTAAAAAAAAAAAAAAAAAAACAAAGATCAAGAGCTTGCCAAGAACCTGCTCAATACAGATTTCTGTCTTTGTTTGGAATTATGTTGGCTGCATTGGCCAAAATCTTGAATGCACTAATGAGGCCAAGCTATCCTATTCATATCATAAAGTCAACTAGCAGCATACTGACAGCTGTATGGTGCCTCCAGAACATAATATTCTAGTGCTCTTCTGCTTCCCAAGTGACATATGCGTTTGTTTTAAAACTCCTTCTAGTGAAATAATATTAGTAGTATGTTTTATTGTTTAATGCCAAAATCCAGGGAACTTGAAAATTCTCTCTTGCAGTGGGTCTGTACTGGCACTGCAAGGGGGAAAAATATTTACTTACCCAATCCTCTGCTCCTTCACACTGCTAGACTGTTCCCCGTAGCTTCTTCTTCCACAAGCCGCAGCAGTCCAAGGTCCTGGCATCATCAAGACCTATGCAGGGTCCATAGACCTGCATTAGATGTGATGGCACCAAGGGACAGTCAACCACTGATGCATGGAGGATTGCTGCCTGCCACAGAGCTGTGCATTGGGTAAGTGAAAATGCTTTTTTACCGCATCCTAGAAATTAATAAACATTTAACCCTTGCAATATGGGTGCAGCCCTACTAAAAGGGAACATTTTCAAATTTATCAGAGTTGGGTTTTAAAGGTAAAGTATCTGTTTAGTATCGGCTTCCCCAGTAAATGTTGACAATAATGTTAGTGATACATACTCCATATTAGAATATATTAGAATATAATCCCTTTATATAGAATTTAAATTGATATATCACATTTAATGTTTTGATATGAAATGTATAGTACAGTGATGCCATAACATTCCATTTGAAATATTTTTATTCTGTAGAATATTGCCCAGTGTTGGAGACAATAGAGGAAGGGGACAGTACTGCATCTTCCTAGTAGAAATGTAAAAATAAAATTCCCAGAATAAAATACTGACAAACACCTTTTAATCCAGTTAGCACTTGCCCTTCAGAGGATTTACCCCCCTTCCTGACCAGGCCATTTTTTGCAATACAGCGCTGTGTTACTTTAACTGACAATTGCATTGTGATGCAACACTGCCCCCATATGAAATTTATGTCCTTTTTTTCCCCAAAAATGGAGCTTTCTTTCGGTGGTATTTGATTGCCTCTGGGAATTTAATTTTTTGCGCTATAAACAAAACAAACCCGACAATTTTGAGAAAAAAAACAATATTTTTGACTTTTTGCTATCAAACATGTCAGTAAAAAAATTAAACAAAATCTAATTTCATCATAAATTTAGGCCAAAATGTATTCTGCTACATGTCTTTGCTAAAAACAAACCCCAATACGTGTAAATTAATTGGCTTAGGTGAAAGTTATAGTGTTTACAGATAGAGGTTTCAATACTGGATTTTTTAATTATCTTTTTAATATTAGTAATGGTGGCGATCAGCGACTTATAGTGGAACTGCAGCGGGCTTTGTGACACTGGGGGGAACTGACTGTCACTGACATCCCCAGTGACACTAATACAGTGATCAGTGCTAATAAAAAGCACATGCACTGTACTAATGACACTGGGCAGGAAGGGCTTAACATCTGGGGCAATCAAATGGTTAACTGTGTGCTGTTTTACTGTGTGCTGTGTGTGTGCTTTACTGTGTGAGCACATTGCTTTGTATTGCTCTGCTATGCAGAGAAATACGAAGCAGTGTGTAAGAGCTGACAGGGGAGAGATCTGTATTGTTTACATACAGACCTCTCCCCCGTCCGTGATAATTGGCGATCGCCGGTGGGGAATCACGGGCCAAAACCCGATGATCGATAGCTGAGGCCATCAATGGTGGTGTGGGTACAGCGCGCACGTGCCTCCTACCCGAAAAATGCGAAATCACGTGTATATATACATCATTTTGCGCAGCCCTGCTGCCCTGTATCAGCATCTCTGCTATATGGCGGCAGGGAAGCGATTAATTGAGCCATTGAAAAGTCATTAAATGTACTAGGAGTGAAAAAGCTGCATTGTGAGCAAATCAGTCTGTATTGCATTGCACAATGTTATGCATAGTACACATGATGAGAATATCGGACGAATGAACGTCCATTTTTTTTTTTTTTTTTTTGCATATTAGTCTCATATCAAAAACTAATAGGTTACTAAAGTTACGAAAATTCTCATAAGACAGAATACAACTTTGGAAGTGATGTATTGTATTGTATTGTATTGTAAAGTATTCTTTCATTTTCGAGAATGCGCAGTCTTGGTCACTCAATTTTTTATGGACGAATGTTGTACTGATTAAACGAAAATCATTTGTTCTGATATCATTCAAGAAAACTTTTTGTGCTTGTCCCTTCGGATGATTTCACATGAACTTTCATGATTGGCTCTAATAAGCTGTGTACTAATGATCAGATTATCGGGCGATAGCTCTGAAAGCGGTATTTCTTGTCTGATTTTCTCATAGTGTGTACTAGGCATTAGTCTAACACTTCCAGTGGTGGGAGTTGGAGGGGTTTAGGGGTAAGCAACCTGTGGCTCTCCAGCTGTTGCAGGACTACAAGTTCCATCATGCCTCTGCAAGTCATAGCTCTAACTGTCAATTTTGCAATGTCTCATGGGAAATGTAGTTCCACAACAGCTAGAGAGCCGCAGGTTGCCTACCCCTGGTAGACAGACCTATTGAAGGTAGACGGTGGAGAGAATATCTCTGCGATTGGGTTGTCTGATACCTACCTCTGCACTGCTCGCTGTGTCCACATACTGCTATTGCTACTATTTCTTCTGTCCTTCCTGGGTCCAACTGCCTGCCTGTCTCAGCTACTGTTTTTATTACCTTTTCTGCAGCCATGTCCAGCTCACTGCATTCCAGGTCTCTTTTGTGTGTTTTGATGCAAGTGTAGCTGTTTATCTGTTCAGGTGGGCTGTGCACAGGGGTGGATAAGGGGATCACTCCAGATATCTCTATACTCCTTTAACAGAACACTAGGCAGTTTTGCCTGTAGAAGCAGCTCAATGTTATCCAACGAGGTGATATCAAAATGTTTTGAGACTAGTTTTGTAACATGCCAACAGATGGCCGCACAAGGCTGCATGCACAGTCACAGGCAGCACCGACCTTCATAAGCCAATGTACCAAAAGACATAGTCCTGTGTACAACGGGAGCTGTGCAACTGGTGCTATCCTGACCATGTGCCTTACCACATCTGCTATTTCATCATGGACAACAAGTTAGAACAAAGAGCAAATGTGAAATCTTTACACCCAAGTTTTGTCACCGGTAATGTTCCTCAGCATGTAGGACGGGTCATCCAAGGCATACTGAGGGATTTCTTGGTAGGCTTCGACGTGGCGTTCCTTCTGCTTCTGGGTCAGCAGCCTGGGGACGAACTTGGCAGCAACACGGCACATGTTCAAATCACACGTGAGGATTGCCTGGACTGTTCCGTATGACACACAGACAATGACAGCAAGGTTGTGGATTGTTCTCTGGCGATCACCATGCACAAGTTGCTCGATATTTTTGACATTTTAGGGGTTGAGCTCATTGAAGGTCTTCCTGATCTCTCGTTGTCTTCCAGCAATTTTATTCCGCTCTTGAAGTGCATGTGCCACTCAAAATACCTTGAATGACCCATTGCATCATCACCATAAACTTGCCAAATCATGTCAAACATCTCTGTGGCAGATTTGCCCAGTTTCACGCAGAATTTCATATTTGCTCTTTGTTTTAACTTGCTTTCCATGATGAAATATAGCAGCAAACGTGGTAATGCACATGGTCAGAATAGCACTAGTTGCACAGCTCCCGATGTTCACAGGACGATGTCTTTTGGCACACTGACTTATGAAGGTCGGTGCTCCCTGTGACTGTGCGTGCAACCTTGTGTTGCCATCTATTGACGTGTTACAAAACTAGTCTGGAAACTTTCTGATACCACCTCGTAAATTTTTCGCTATAGGCCCCGTTTATGCTACAGGCCTAGGCTATAACTTTGTCAAGTTTTTGGCAACTTCTTTTCATTAGTAACATTGCTCTATCTGAGATCATAAGGTATCATATCCCATCTGAATATGAATGAAACAAAAGAAATTGAAAGTAACTATAATGTTACATTATACTTCTCTACTGAGCTCCTGAACATTGTTTACAAACACTGTTAATATGCTACGCGTTTCCTATTTGTAACGCATAAGTTTTGTCCTTGAAAGGAAACGTTTCCTGAGAGAAAAATTGACCTGCCATTACTGACCCCCTTTTTAAAATCCTAGCTGTGTTGCAGCTATTCTGACCTACTATCTTCAGTACTTTTTGAGTCACTGGATCTGGATAGAATCTAGGATTCTGTATTAGTACAAGAAAAGCCAAAAGTCTTTCTATGCATACCTCTAGGTTAGTGACTCATATTGAAGCCAAAGGGTCAATATGACAGTCAAGCAACCAGAATTTGCAGAACATAGCTTTTGTATATCTCTCAAGAAATGTTTCCTTTATAGTTCTCAGCCTGTCCATAAAGGAGTAATTATAGGTTCCTAATTTTCTATGATGTAAAATGATGTCTTTACATGCTTAGAAGATGATTGGGAAAGCCAAACAAAGAAAATAATAATCCAAAGGACATTCATGAAAACTTGGTGGCAATTCTAGGGGAGGAGAATTCAAGACTGTTGAAGATTATTCTCCTTCAGGCAGACCAATCGATGGCACCCATATGTACATGAAACAGCCCTGTAAACATTTAACAGGAAAGTACTGAATTGGACACGTAAAATACAACAATCACATTCTGAGAAAAACATCTGGCAATGACAAGGATTTTTGCCTGTTGGGTCCCAAAGCATCTAGACATCTGAGCTAAAGCTGATCAGATAGACCCATACCACTGGACAATCTTGTAGAGTTTGAAGGCAATGCAGAAATATTTTGCAGCTGTTTGTATCAGGTTGAAACATGGGCAGACTACTTCATCATAGAGCTAAAATAACAAAACCACAGAAGTATATAGATTGCCCACTTTGAAGAAGGTGCAGTTTCTAGAATGCAAAGTAGGTGGTAACAATGTTTTACCTTGTGTGAGCCAGATCATCACTGGTGAATACTACGCTAGCTTGAAAAGGGAACCGCAACAAAATTGTAGAGATATGCACTGAGGAGAGTTGACCAAAGGGATGTTGTTTCACCATAATAATGTTCCAAGCCATGCCTAAGCAGTTGCCATGAATATGGATTTGAACTGCTTCAACATTCATACCTGATCTTACCCCTTTGGATTCCCACTTGCTCTACAATAGTTTTACATAGAGTATTGTATGGCAATAAAGTGAAACTTCCGGTCAACAGTTAAATTAAGTTAAAACAAAATATGTGAACTATTTTACCTGCCAAAATATATACAATTCTGCTCAGGCAATCTTGTGATGCTGGCATATATGCAAGACTGCATAATCAGAAAAATGAAACAAAGCAAGTACTTTACTCCTGCGCTGGGGATGGACACAGCAGAGGCTAGGATGACAATATAAATATTCTGGAATATGCACTGCTTGCTGCCCTCAATGGACTGGGGTAGTCCAAAGTCACTAAATGCAAATGAAAAAAACAAAAAGAGGGCGCACCAGCCTAGTGCATTATCATTTAAAATATTTATTGAAAGAATAAAAAAGTAGGTATCATACTCACAATGGACATATAAAACATAGGCACATCACAATGAACAAAAGTGTTCAATCCATATAGGAGTCCACAACGCTGGAACCCTGGATGACCAACTGCCTGACGCGTTTCGAGGACTCAGCCTCTTCCTCAGAGCCAAAGTATGATACCTACTTTTTTATTCTTTCAATAAATATTTTAAACAATAATGCACTAGGCCGGGGCACCCTCTTTTTGTTTTTTCATTTGCATTTAATAACCATAAAAATACCTTGACTACTTCCTGAACAAGTTTTACAGATTCCCATGTCAGCTGCCTGCACAATAGAAAGGAGAAAGGATTAGCAGGGCAGGAGTTATACTTCCTGCTACCCTAGACCAACTGCCCTGTGCCACCCACCTCCCCACCCCTCCTTATCCCAGTCATATGGGTAGTCTTGGCATTACATCAACAAGATCAAAGACCATAACCACACAAAGCACACTGAAATACGCACCTCTAGAGGAGCAGCAATAATAGGGCCAGTGTGGAATATTTTACTACACACAGGAATGTATTACAGACAGTCAGTAACCTGCTGTGTGGGTGAGTGTGTGCTCCCCTAGCAGGAGTGCCATCCTTGGCCACAGTCCACATCGGGAATGCAGATCTAAATTAGAAGTATCTCAGTGATGGTTCCTTTCACAGTGAGCAGGCTGGAGGCAAAGATGTAACAAATAAACTGCAAACCTGCACCGGCAAGCAATCATGTCTTTTGCTTGGAAGAGCAGCATGATAGGGATGAGTGAATAACAACACTGAGGAGAATACAAGTCCTTTTACATGTGTACATGTACATAACATTTCTGCAAAACACATTTTTTTTTCCCTAAAGCATCTACTTGTGGCACATTATGGTTACTTTTGCTAATCCTAAATCCTGCTTTGTCAACTTACCATACATTCTAATTGGGCGGACATGCAATAGTACCATAATATAATAACAGATGCAATAGTTTCAGTTGTTTCCTTAAGAATGCTGGCTCAGTATCTGATAGAATTACATTTTTCTTTTTCTTTTTTTATGGTCCAATAACACAGATAATATAAGATAAAGTCACAGGCCCAACTGAAAATTGTTTTGTGTTGACATACAGGAGATTTGATAGGGGCATACATCATGTGTTTTTTGGTTCAGGCTGGGGTTCATCTCACTAACGAAGACAATATTCCCTAAGTGGAATTCACAAGAGTCACAAAAGCTGGAGAATGTTATGCAATCTAGTCATTCTCGGCACAAAACATCTCGTTCTCGAGATTTACCACTTACTTGGGATTGCCTGCATAGTTTAAAAGGTTGAAGAGTCTCTTGGTAAAATAAGTGATGATAGGACTGTAGATCAAACCAAAAGCTGACGCCACACTCCCACAGCTGAAATGGAATGATAATAATAAACAATAAAGAAACATATACATTTAACCAAATTGCCTGATGGCAATTCTAGAACACATTGACTTAGAGTTAGAAATTAATTAGAAACTAAAGCAGACCTCCTCCCTCTCCAGTCACTTTCCACTATCTCATCTCTAGCCCCTCCTCTCTCAAAATAACAAATTACTTTTTTTTTAATTTATGAAATACCATTTTCATGGAATTCTCCTTCTACTCCCTAAGTGCTCACCTAGGCGAAAATGATGTATCACTTGCCTGTAACCTTCTGAGATAGCCACATCATGCATCCCAGGTGCCCACAGTGTAAGCTACTGTGCATGAATTTTGGCTCATCATCGAGGGCCAACTGTTTCTTCCTGATATATGCAGGTGGTCTCCTGATGATGTGCCACGCCACATGTTCACTATCAGGATGCTGGGTTCAAGAACTCAAAAGAAACAGATAGCATACTGATAACATCACAGATGATGATGACGGCACAGGACCCATTATGAAGCAGCGGCACAGCAGATCAGTATAGAACGCTGCTGGGTCGCTGAGAGTGTATGTTTATTTGTGGATCAGGTGCAGTTTAGGAAACTGTGTAGTCATGGCCACAGAAATCCCAATGTGTTATTATTATTATTGTTCAGGTATTATATATTGCCAATAGTTTGCATTGTGCATTACAATTGTAATGGAGACAGTTACAAATCAAAACAGGAGGGTTCCGCTTATGAGAGCTTACAATCTAAAGGAAAGGACAAGTGACATCCTGGCTGTGGGGGGATAAGTTGATTAAGAAAGTAAAGGTCCAGTTGTTCGTAGGTTAGACTTTCCTAAAGAGTAGAAGATAGTTGGATGGTTTGTTGTAGGGAGTTCCAGAGGCTGTGGCAAAGTCCCAGAGGTGAGATGAGAGGAGGTGACAAGGGGACTAGAGAGCAGAAGGTCTTGAGAGGAGCAAAGAGGACAGTTTGGATGTGTCAGGGACTAGATTTGAACCCCAGACCTCTACTGTTTCAGGCAATGTCTCTTCTTGTTGAGCCGCTTGGAATGCTGAATAGCTCCCTGAACAAATCCTTGGATGATCCTCTCTTGAACCTTGAACTCTTTGCTCCTCCTATGCACTTCCTGATTTAAGCCATGCCTCTGCATTTCCTGTTGCCAGATTATTGTGCGCCTCTCAGTATTTCTTTCTGCAGCCTCGAGCTACACTATCACTACTTAAAATCAACCTTAGCTTGTGACCCCAACTATGAAACTCTTCTCCTGCTTTGACCTTGGCTTATTCCCCTGACTAAGAAACTCTTCTCCTGCACTGACCTTGGCTTGTAACCCCGACTACGAAACTCTTCTCCTGCACTGACCTTGGCTTGTAACCCCCGACTACGAAACTCTTCTTCTGCTTTGACCTTGGCTTATTCCCCTGACTAAGAAACTCTTCTCCTGCATTGACCTTGGCTTGTAACCCCCGACTACAAAACTCTTCTGCATTGACCTTGGCTTGTAACCCCCAACTATGAAACTCTTCTCCTGCTTTGACCTTGGCTTATTCCCGACTAAGAAACTCTTCTCCTGCATTGACCTTGGCTTGTAACCCCCGACTACGAAACTCTTCTCCTGCATTGACCTTGGCTTGTAACCCCCGACTACGAAACTCTTCTCCTGCATTGACCTTGGCTAGTGACTCCGGCACAGATCATATGTCTAAGGGTTCAGACAGTTCAACCTCTTAAGAACTTTGAATGGTGCTTAGCCTGATGTTTCTCAACCACTGGTCTCCACTTTATACAGGTATTTTCCTGACGGTGATATTTTGAGATTAAGCTGGTAATTTAGCTTGGGGCAGGGTTGTGTATGGCTTTGGACAGTATGTTGTGTTTAGTATTTTGAATTTTATGCATTTAAGATCAGAAGTCAATGTAGGGATCGGAAGAGAAATTTGGTGGACACTGACCGATTGGTTAGGCAGATGACTTTGGCAGCAGCATTCATGATAGACTGAAGGTGAGGTAGTCTGGGTAGAGGTATGCCACCAGGAGGGGGGGGGGGATTGCACTCTTCCAGGTGAGAATTAAAGAGTGAATTAGTAACTTTGCTGTCATTTGTTATGCAGTGGCAAAAGTTGGAAATGTTGCAGTGTGGAATTATTTAGACAGTGATTGGATGTAGGGCCAAAAGGAGAGGTCATAATTTCAATGTCTTCTAAATAAACAATTATAAATAAAAGATGTAACAAAATGTTGTTCCTTATATAACACGTCACCTCTTTTTTAGAAACAAGGAACAGTTGTCTGTTTCTACTCTCATATTTTTAATACAGATGAAGGAAGAATATGGTTGCTTGCTAAGGGCAACACAGAGGGTTATTTTGCAGGCTTTCATATTTGGGTTCATGGTATTCAGAGCATTGAAAGAAACCGAAATGTTCCTCAACAAATGGTATACAACACCCTTGGTCATGTACAATATGAAAAACAGTCATTCCCTGGGACAGAGTGTTCTGTCCCGAGGATATTAAACCATGAGACTGTTCTCCAGCATACCTTGTTTCCTGACTGTTCACAGAATGTGGCAAAAAAAAAACCAGCACGACAGTCATGGTGGAGAGCTTGCAGCATTTCCTCCATCTTGGAGCTTTTCAGAACGCTGCTGCTTGTGTCCATATGCTGAAAGTACACAATGTAAGTACTTTATTCCATAAAATCAAATGAATAAGTGAGTGGGAAAGAAATAATAAATACAAGCAAATAATAGGTTACCAAGTCCAATAGATTAAAGAAAAAACTGTACTTAAAATGCAGCTCCTCAATGAAGCACTCAAACCAGGTAACATTTTATTTTTGCTTACTTTTAAAGCTAATATAAAAAGAAAGATAATCTTGGTGGAAAAACAGTTTATAGGCTGAATTCACAAAGCTAACATACAATAGTAAGGATAGTTATTTTCCAAAAGTATTAGGGTTTTTTTTAGCTCAGTCCAATGAGATTTAAAACATACAGCCACATGACTACAATAAACATTTCCTTATGTTAAAGTTTGTAACTTGAGCTTATGTCAGTAAAAGCTGTCCAAAACGTGGTCATAAAGCAGGCCTCCACAACAGGCTTGGGTGTGTTTTCACAAAGCTGTTCTATATTGGAGGTTCAGGCCCTAGCTGTGCTACCTGGATCACAGAAGTGGCTGAACAAAATTAGAAACATTTTGGCATGTTCTAGATTTTCCACATGCAGAGGTTAGACAAAAAAATGGAAACACTACATGATTTGCAGGTGTGAAAAAGACTACATGTTTCGCGTTGAAAGTGATGTACCATTCTTTTGCTTCCGCTGTATGATGAGACAACTAGCTAGCAGGTGGGAAACCTCACTTTTGTCATTCACTGCATGTGCTGCTAGTAATATGGAGTTGTGTCAGAGAGTATTGAGCTTCAAAGAAGGCAAATTGTTGGTTCCAATTAGCTGGTGCCTCTGTAACTGAAGTTGCCAATTTATTTGCCGTGTCGCAAAATACAATATCACAGTGTGACAGACCCAACCGGACAGGGGCTTTTGGAGAGGGCTAGACTTCTACCCACTAATTATGGCCCATGAATGAAACCCAAGATTTTGTCTGCTTCTCCCAGTCAGAGCATGGAAAAGAGCTCAGTTCAGCCTCTGATCCCATGGAGAGAGCAGATCATTCTCTAATGATTGACAAACAATGTGATGAACGCTGAGAGCGAAGTTTGGATTAATTTTCTGAATAAAGACAATAAAGCTTCCCTTCTGGAGTGGATGGAAAAGTGTAATATTAATCTTGTACAGGTTAATGGTCAGAGGAAATATAGTGACCCTTCTGCAGACTGGGTTGGAGAAACTCCTCCACTTGGGACTGAAATATTTATCAACAATTTGTCTCAAGAAATCTATGAAGATAAATGAATTCCACTTTTTCAGACTGATGGAACATTGTATGAGTTTTGTCTTTTGATGACTTTAGTGGACAGATTACACAGATGAAAGCCAAACACCTGTAAAGTACTTTGTGTATCCAGGGCTGTGGACTTGTTGCTGGACTGTCTGAGGTGAACTCCCTGACTAATCAAAGCATAACTGGATGCCTGGCTGTTGGTTAGCTGATTGTTAATTAGATCACTGTTTAATTAGGTTACTGTTAGCTGCTAGATGTTCATTAGATGTACTGATACAACTGATGTATGATATTACTGTTTAAAGTTTGCAGTTTTTAGAATAATGTGATCAAATTCTTATCTCACTTTGTGCGATATAAATTCTGTGTGAATTTTCAATGAAAACAATTTCTGTTTGCATCTAAGTTAGGTGTCAGTTTATGAACCAGCGGTAATAGATCGCTGCTCAGTTCTCCGGCATTCTCGGAGAACACAGTTCTCCTGTGAATGCAGTTTATGAAGCAGTTCTCCGAACGAAGGGAGAACAGTCTCCAAACGCTGGAGAACGGTCTACAAACTCTGGAAAACGGCTGATTTTACTATAATCTCACGAGATTACAGTAAAAGATCAGTTTACTAAACAGAGGTAAATTATCTCTGCTTAGTTTTCGGTCCCTCTGATTCTCCAGCTCTGGGCTGGAGAATCTGGAGGGAGAACACAGATCTCCAGCGAAGGGCTGACATGATCTCCTGAGTGTCATAAACTGTGAATGACCAGAGAATAGCTGAGATCCGTTGAATCGCAGCTATTCTCTGGGTCATAAACGGACAGCTTAGTGTTGTCTAGTTCTTGGGTGCAATTCCCAGCTATAACACTTTGTTCCTGTATTCCAGCGGTGAGGAAGCTGCTATCTGGCGGAGGCACACTGGTGGCATGCCAGGCAGTCCGTCACACAAAGGTTATGACGGCATATACAGTTTCCGAGAAAATGTTATCTGATAATTATAAGTGCAGCAGACATATTCAACTGACCAAAAGAGACAAAAGGACAAAAGTGTTTCCATTTTTTTGTCTAACCCCTGTATGTATTAACCACTTGCCTTCCTGAGGATTTACCCCCCTTCCTGACCAGGCCCTTTTTGCTACTCAGAGTTGCACTAATTCAACTGATAATTGCGCGGGTCATGCAATGCTGCACCCAAACAAAATTTAAGTCCTTTTTTTCACAGAAATAGAGCTTTCTTTCGGTGGTATTTGATCACCTGTGCTCTTTTTATTTTTCACACTATAAACAATAAAAGACCAAACATTTTGAAGAAAAACAATATTTTTTACTTTCAGCTATAAAAAATATATAGTAAACTCAAAGTTAGTTATAAATTTAGGCCAAAATGTATTCTGCTACATGTTTTTGGTAAAAAAAAATCCCAATAAGTGTATATTGATTACTTTGTGTGAAAGTTATAGTGTCTACAAACTATGGTATAGATACTGCAATTTACACCATTTATGTGCTATACAGCGCTGTGCTAGTTTAACGGACAATTGCGCGGTCGTGCAATACGGTACATAAATTACATTTCTGTTCTTTTTTTTCACACAAATAGAGCTTTCTCTTGGTGGTATTTGATCACCTGTGCACTTTTTATTTTTGGTGCTATAAACAGAAAAATATTTTGAAGAAAAAAACATTTTAAGAAAAAAACAATATTTTCTCATTTTGGTCATAAAAAAATATCCAAAAAAACTAAAATTTCGTCATAAAATTTAGGCCAAAATGTATTCTGCTACATGTTTTTGGTTAAAAAAAAGTCCCAGTAAGTGTATATTTATTGCTTTTGTGTGAAAGTTATAGCGTCTACAAACTATGGTATAGATAATGGAATTTACACAGCTTTTACTTTCTGACTGCCCATCACATTTCTTGAGGTGCTAAAATACTAGGATAGTACAAACACCCTCAAATGACCCCTTTTCGGAAAGTAGACACCCTAAGTTATCTGCTGAGAGGCATATTTAGTCCATGGAAATTTTATTTTTTTCCTCAAGCTTCTGGAAAATGACAAAAACATTTTTTTATTTTTTTTTACACAAAGTTGTCATTTAAATTATATATTTCTCGCACAAGCCATGGGTATATGTGGAATTACACCCCAAAATACATTCTGCTACTTCTACCGAGTATGGGGATACCACCTGTATGAGACCTTTTGGGAGCCTAGCCACATACAGGAGCCTGAAATCCAATGACCACTTTGAAAGCCTGAAGGTGCGTAACTTCCTCATTACACTTCCTCACTACCTATCACACCTACCTACCTACTACCTATCCCTGACATGCCAGGATAGCACCAAACCCCCCCAAATGACCCCTTCCTGGAAAGTAGACACCCCAAGGAATTTAAAAAGAGGCATGGTGAGTTTTTTGCAGATCTCATTTTTTCTCACAAGGTTTTGAAATATAAAAAAAGAATAGATAAAATATGTTTTTGGTTTTTTTTTCTTCATTTCCCAAAAACTTGTGGCAACAAATGAGATCCGCAGGTAGGGCGGACGAGCGCCTCGTGTGCACCCCCTGTTTTGCTAAATGATGTTTTAAACCGTGATTTAGCACAGCGGTGCCACCCTGCCACAGTATATACACTGTGGCTGGTAGGCAACCAGTTAAAGCTGCCAGAGTTCAGTTTTTTACATTAATGTGGTAGTCCAGCCAAAATGATACAGCATGTTCTTTGGATAGAGTGGATAGAACCTCTATTAACTTTACATTGTAATCTTTATCCCCGTAGTCAATATTTCCCCACATTTTCTGACCAAATATCCTCTGTCCCTGGGATAAGAAGTGAGGAAATCTCTGAAACAGAGGCACAGACAGCAATGCAATCCTGGCAGAGGTTCAAACACTTTGCCACCAAACAAAAATAAGTTAATATTTTGAAGAAACATGCATTATCAATATGAACATTCTTTCATTTTATAAAAAATCATGTGAATGATTAGGTAAGCAATACTTGCCAACACATCAAAGTTTACCAAAAATCAATCCGTGGAAATCAATTGATTTCTCATCCGCACTAAATAACATGGAAGGAACCTCCCCTGCCAACTACTAATGGAACCCATGGCTGCTGAATACCCAACCAGTGATTACACCTGACTGGAAGCTGTCACTGTTCGTCCTATAATTTTCTACCCGGCTTCTTTAACTCTATGAGGATATATCTAAATAGCTCATTTAACTGTTATCCAATCAGGCAGGTCCTTTTCTACATAATTGTTTGAAAATCTAAAGGAGACTGTATTTCCAGATTGTAATACGTGCCAGTTACCAATCTTTAAAGCACTGTACACCTTAATCCTTCTAGTTCACCTTTCTATCCAAAATTAGATACCTCTTGCATTTGTTACATAATGTAATTATACATTACATTTTTGATGCAATAGTAATATTACCACAGGGATTACAATGCCAAAAACATGTCAAAATCACAGAGCAGCGTAAAATGTCTCTGTCCTGTTACTTGTATGCCTATATGTTAATCCTTGCTCTAAAACCTAACCTCCCCCAGTTCAAACACTATCCCTTAAACTAACCCTTAAAATTAAATGCTTATTTCTTAACCTGCACTCTAGAGACTTGTGTACCTTATGGGTATGCTCTAAAATTTGGAGGGTATCTAAACTCCTAGATTGTAAGCTCCAAGGAGCAGGGCCCTCCTTTCTCTCTTGTATTGAA